AGGCCGAGAAACGTGGCGCAGTTTTTGGGCGGAATTCGAAGAAAGGAAAGAAACCAAACGGTGGCGGTCTTTTCCGCACCTTCTCTCCAAAGGTTGCCTGTAGTGTCGTGGTCAATCCAATACTCGATATGGTTTTCTCAGAACTATTGCTTGTATGAATTTAGCTAAATATTACTTTGTTTCAAATTATAAGACGCTTTAAATTTTATAAATATATTGCTTTTAATATATATCTAGATATAGTGCATATCTAAGTGTACAACAAAAACTATACATCTAGAAAAGCTAAAACATCTTATAATTTGAAATGGAGTAGTTGTTTTTCTCACCTTTCGACTCATAAGTAACTTAAGATGCTCGTCTTTGCACTTAGTCTCATTTCCAAAGACGATATAGTTCTTAAACAAATCCGTCTCTGAAATCTCTTTTACAAAATTTGTGTGGGGCTTTGGCGAAGCTATAAACAAAGCCTAAATAGGCTTACCACGAGAAATCAATTTCGTAGTGGTAAGACATTAAGATTTTGTGCAACACAATATTGTTGGTTATTCAGTTTTTTCTGTCAACATGGTGCTACGGTCCATGTTCAACATGATAGGGTTTGGAGGAGTAGAGAAATAATATTGGTGGTATTATCTCCATGAAAACAACACAAAAAAGTGTATGGCAATAGTGCTGCAAATTCTTACTCCATCCGTCTCAAAAAGAGAGTCGCTATGAGAATCATGCTGGTCAAACTTTCTCAACTTTAACTAGGTTTGTAGAAAATACGTGCAACATTTATATCTTCAAATAAGTTTATTATGAAAATATATTCAATGATCCACCTAATGATACTAATTATGTACCATAAATATTAATATTTTGTTAAATATATTTGGTCAAGGTTAAAAGTTGTTGACTTTTTAAGAAGTGAGAATGACTTTTTTAGGGAGTATTGTTGGGGATCGAGATCCTAGAGTCAGAGATGTAAGGATATAGGAAATGAAACATTCAGTATCCATGGCAAAAGTTATTAAGGGCGCAAAAAACTTCTATATGGCATTGGCCATTTTGCCCTACATTTTGGCTAGGTTTCGTAACTATTCAAGCGGGGCATAATAGTCAATACACTAAGTCCAACTAAGATACCCTGAGTCTGGCCAAGACACTTGTCGCCTAGTCCTGTCTTTGCTTGGCGCAACAACTTTGCCCAGTACCTCCGTGAGTCCATATGTGTGACTTCGTCAAGCTTCTTCATGGCACCTATTCCGCTTCGCCTAGCATACGCTTGTCCCACGAAGATGGGAGATTGACTTCGCCGTTTGGAGCTAAGATTCCTTCAACGTGGAGGGCTTCGACAAAGTTTCTCAAGTGACAGTCCGCCTAAACATGAAAATGCAAGTTTGTAAAAAAAATGGAAATGTTGTTAGTGAAATTTCCAGTTTGATTTTGGTAATTGAACGACAACTTTAGGTGGACCAATATGTTTCATGTGAGATGAACATGTACTTAGTCCACATACACTAGGTTGAGCAAGACATGATAGCCATGGCGGAGAGATGGCTTGTGCATGATGAAAGTGCTCAACTAGTGAAGTTGAAGGTGCTCGTTGAATATGAGAGATGACATAGCCTGATATGGCTAGGTGGAGAAGATCAAGGTGAGACTTGGCTACGAAGGAGCAGGTTGCAGGAGTGAAGGGCAAGCTAGAGACTCTGGTGTGATGGACCGTCAAGGCGGTGAAGCGCGAATAGAGGGCTTGGTGTCGATGGACCGAGACAATGATAAAGAGAAATCAAGGCACTGATCGATGAACTAATAAGGTCATGTGAAATTATGAGGTGGATCATACCATTAACGAAAAATCAAGTCAAGTGTTGATTTGTGTTGATGATTAAGTGGCTTGACAGTTTCGAGACATAGAGATTATAGAATACCTATATCAATAATGTGTTAACAAATGGTCAAGAGAGAGCTTAAAGATAAGTAAATTTTTGTTAGTTGTATGTATTCAACACAAACTTTTAATATTTTCATCTTCTAAGATTTTAGCCCATGCAAGGTTGATAGACTAGCAATAATAAGTGAAAGGTCTTTCCCAAACGATTTTTTTTGTATTCTTTGGCTCATTTTATATATGTTTTTTTAAAGATACGCGTGGGTCATGTAGTCATGAATTGTTAGAAAAAAGCCAAAATTCTAACTTTATTAGATCATACATTACCTTTACTAAGAAACATATCTTACATATCATTTCATAAAAAGAGACATCTTACATCTGAAAGTTTTTAGACAGGTCAAAGATACTGGCAAAAGACGTATGTACTCTCATCTCTTTTACTTTCCTAGACTAGAGGATCTCTCCTAGATTTGGTAGTTATCGTTTGCATGCACCAATAATTAGTTGCCGTATTAGAAGACAGTGTTCTATGTTTGAGTAAATTTCATTTGTTTTAAGGCAAAACTTAAACCTTAGAAATATTTATTTTAGGAGACAGGGGCTACATAATTAACCAATCATCAAAGAAGCGCTAGAGAGCGTTACTGAACCACTACGGTTAGGATTTCTTCAATAGACTTAGTGCCTTTTTGGCAGGGCTCCTGCAGAGGCTCCAGCTCCGGCTTCTGGAACTGTGCCAAATGGCAGTTTGGGAAAGGGCTCCGCATGCGAGCCCCTGCAGAGCCGGAGCCGTTTTAAGCTGTGGCCGGCGGAGCCTCAAAAACAAGCTTCGCATGGCTCCTTCCTTGGGCCCACGTCGATAGATTCCAGGATGACATTGCAAGAGCAATTTTCCGTTCTAGATCATCATGATCATGTAGTTGGATGATATTTCAATGTCGTGCCTACTTTTGTAAACGTTATTGTACTCTAACAAATACAATTATCGGTTAATCTTATTTTCCATATTTAATCTTTGTTAATTTTGGACAATCGTATGACAAAGTGACATCAAGAATAAATCATATGTACAATCAAGTTAAATAAAGCAGAGGCGCTATGGACATTCAACATCTTTGATCTATTCTAGAAAAACAGGAGGAGCCGTTTTGCCAATCGTTTTTCAAAACGGCTCCCTCCTCAAGAGGAGCTGCTCCTTCAGAAAAGCCAGAGCCATTTTCGGAGGAGCCAGAGCCCTGCCAAACGGGCCCTTAACGCTACCCAAGATATTGACATGTATTTTTCTTTCTTTTTTAATAAGAAAAAATGTAGAGCTGTAATTTCGCAGACTTATCAAGTACTACTAGCACCCTTATGGCTGTGAAAGTGGGAAGCCATCAAACCACACGGTGGGTATCGTGGTAGTGCTGCCTGCCACTATTCCGATGAGGGGAAAATGATGATGGCACTTGGGGTGAGGCGACTCATGCCAGTGCTCCAAAAGACCAAACCAGTGCAGGAAGGAAGGGGGGCCACACCCTTGTGGCGATGTCAGAGACTCCATCCATTCAGAGGCACAGTTTGTCAATGTCACCAAAGGCCTATGTAGCTTTTGTGTGTCTTCTTCATTGTTGCTATGAAGTCATGGACAAACTACATGGAACCTCTTGAGCCCAGGAAGGGTAAAATAAAATTCTTGCCTAGGAGTATGCACAATATACTACTCCACCCGTGCAAAAAAAAAAATACAATTCTAAATTTGAACCAAATCAAACTTTCTTAGGTTTGACTGAATTTAAAAACAATAATATCAACTTTTATATCTCCAGATATGTTTACTACGAAAAAATATTATATGATTAATCTACTGATGATGCTCTTTTGGTGTCATAAAGTTAGTGTTTTTTGGTATAAATTTTAATCAAATTGAGACTCTTTGACTCCTTAACAAGCAAGAATTGTTTTTTTTTCTTTGGACGGAGGGGGAGTACATGTAAAGATATAAAATTCTCTGAGTTTAGTACTTATTAGTGACCTTTCACCATATTGGACAGCTACTGACCCACTGTCCACTAATCATCCAAGTAGACAGTAAGGAAACATTGCGAACCAGAGCAGGGAACACATCACAAGCTCAAGCACCACGCATCTGAATGCTAGTAGCTCACTTGAAATCTGAGGGAATCTGCGCGCACGCTAGTGTGCCACTTACTTGCTGGACAGAGGTCAGTAGTTTAGCATCGCCACGCATCGGACACAGCACCATGCAAGTATAATATGGAGGAGGATTATAATAAGATTAGGAGCCATGTTACCCAAGTGATTAAGATAGTCAGAGAGGACAAAAAATGCTTAGGGGAACCTTTGACCAGCTAAAGGCTCTGCTCAGCTGAGCTCCCCTTGAATGTTGATGATTGAGGACAAAGCAAGCAACGCCCCCCAGGGGGAGAAAAAATAAAAGAAAGTGTTTGTGCAGCGTGAGTGCGTCCTCTTGTGGGTGTGTGTATCTGCACCTGGTCCTACACTTGCAAAGCCATGCGGAGCCTTGGGTTACCTCACATGGAAACAGGAGCTGTGTCAGCCTCTTGCTTGACTGGCCCCTCCCCTTGGTGGCCTTTTGCTGTTCACCTTGCTTGGCCAGTCCAGTGTACTCTTTGCACTTCCACCCTTCGCATGGTGCTTCACCACTTGCTTCTCAGATCTGGCCGCCATTTCCATCATGCTTGCTGCTGCTGCATCTGCAATTATGTATCTATGTATATTGATGGTACAATTTGCAACATCGTTGATCAAAAAGGAAGGGAAAAATTGACAATAAGGAATGGAACGAAGTGGATTTGGCACCAAAGAAAAATCACCATTTATATATGTACATACACAGCTCTTACTGAAGTGTGACGAGAAGAGATGAACAAAGCTTGAAAACAAAGAAGAAAAGAAAATCAACCTACTCCCCTAGGTACATGACATCTTCAACTGACGAAGCTATGAGGGAAAACTTCTGTCTTGTACCATCAGAAGGGAATGCTAAAGCTCAAGAAGAGACTTCAAATGGATTCCTACGGGCATTTTGCCTCTGACTGGCCGTGTAGCTGCCACTACTAACCCCTGGGCAGTTTCTCGCGTGTCGGTGGCCTTGCTAGTCCTTCTCCTCCTTGTCTTCTTTCAGGGTCGTCATCTCCACATCTCCAAAACATGCATCATCCATGGCGCCTGTGCATTCTGAAGTCTTTGAGTCCACCGCCGAACTGGCCTGCAACTCCTTGAACATTGCCATGACTTTCAGCATTGTCGGACGCTTCGATGGCATGTCATGCAAGCACTGGGAAGCAATTTTTAGGTGCTCCAGTAGCTCGGGCTCCAAGGCTGGATCCTCCTTCACCAGTTCAGGATCAAACACATCTGTGAGCTTCGACTTTGAGTGTTGTTTGACCCATCCTACAAGATTGTTGTCCTCACCGAAGTCAGTTGAATCTGTAGGCGGTTTCCCAGTGAGCAGCTCGAGCAATACAACACCATAGCTATACACATCGCCCTTGGTAGTGCATCTGAAGCTCTGGTAGTACTCTGGTGGCACATAACCCGGAGTGCCGGCGAGAGTGGACACACTCAGATGGGTGTCCACCACGCTCACCATCCTTGCCATACCAAAATCAGATACCCTTGCCTCTAATTGCTCATCGATAAGCACATTGCTTGACTTCATGTCTCTATGGATGATGTGTGGAATACAGTTGTGGTGGAGGTATGCCAATCCCCTTGCAGCCCCAATCGCAATCTTTTTTCTTGCAGCCCAATTTAGCTTAATCCCGGTCTTTTTTCGGTCGTGCAACACATCTTCCAAGCTGCCAAACCTCATGTAATCATAAACCAACAGCCGCTCCTCACCACACTTGCAGTAGCCGAGGAGCGGAACAAGGTTGCGGTGTTTGATCCTCCCAATGGTCTCCATTTCTGCAGTAAACTCCCGGTCACCCTGGCCACTCATATGTATAAGCTTCTTGATTGCAACAACCTTTCCATCCTTGAGCTGGGCCTTATAGACATCCCCAAAACCACCAGACCCAATTAGGCTATCATTGTGGAAGCCATTCGTGGCCACAATAAGATCATTAAAGGTGAGTTTCTGCAGTCGCTTCTCAAATGTAGCAAGGTTGACACTGAGGGCATTAGTACCAGAGAGTCTCCAATTGGTAGTCCCAGAATGTGACCGGCTATCAATGTATATGTCACGAGCGGTACTTGCCTCTTCATTGATCTGCTGCCGCTTCTTGCACTCGATGGCTATGATGACAATACCAACTATGCAGAACAGCGAGAACAAGAGTCCCATAGCAACACTACCTGCGAGTGAAGCCTGGTTCCGGTGGGATCGGTGGTCATCGGAAGAACTTGAGCCTGCATTGTGCCCGCATGGCAACAGTGGGAAGCCACAAAGACCAGAGTTATTCTCATATGAAATCTTCGGGAATGTGAACAGCGAACCGAGCTCTGGAATTGAACCATTCAGCTGATTGTTTGAAAGGTTGATCTCTGACAAGGACAGCGTCGAGAAAGAGTTGGGAATAGGCCCTTCCAACTGGTTGTGTGACAGGTCGAGTACCGCAAGCTTCTTGGCACCAGCTAGTTCTGGTGGGATGACGCCAGACAGTAAGTTGTGCCCAAGATTCATGATCATGAGGTAGAACATGTTCCCAAGCTCCTTCGGGATCTCTGAGTCGAGCTGATTAAATGACAAATCCAGAAATATCATGGATCCATTCTTATTGAAGGTATACTCTGTGCTACCCATGTACACCCGAGTGAAGTTGCACAGCTTCTTGCTCGGCATCCGACTGAGCTCTTCAGGTCGGATGCTGGTGAACTCTAGCAAGCTCCCCTTGCCATGGCACTCGCTGCTCAGCTCGTCGTTGCGAAGATACACATACGGCCGCCCAATGACAAGGCCGACGTTCATCTTCCCAGACTGTTTTGCCAGTTCCGCCGGTATTGACCCGTTAAGCTGGTTGCTGTTCAGGTCCAGCCAGACCAAGCTCTGGCAGTTGCCGAGCTCAGCCGGTATTGGCCCCGAGAAGGAATTGTTGCTCAGCTTCAAGATGGCCAGGTTGCTGAGCTGCCCAAGCCAAGCAGGAATCGGACCAGACAGCTGGTTGCTCGCCAAGGATATCCAGTTCAGCTCCTTGCACTTGGAGAGTTCCGGCGGGATGCCGCCAGTGAGCCCGTTGTAGTCGAGGATGAGATGCTCGAGCTTGTCCAAATTTTCCAGGGACGCCGGAATCTCGCCCTCCAACAAGTTCTGCCACAGAATGAGGTCCCGGAGCTCCCCGAGCTTTCCGAGGGATGCTGGGAGGGTGCCGTTGATGTCGTTGAGGCTGAGGTCGAGAGATTGGAGCCTGGTGCAGTTGGAGATTGACACCGGGATGGCGCCGGAGAGGTAGTTGTTCTGGAGGTACAGCATGCGGAGGCTGGAGTTGGGGCCTTGGCAGATGGACGAAGGGATGGTGCCGGAGAAGGTGTTGGAGCTGAGGTCCAGCACGTCGAGCTCCGGCAGCGCTGCCAAGGAGTCCGGAATGGTGCCGTTGAAGTGGTTGAAGCAGAGGGAGAGCACCTTGAGCTGCTTGAGCTCGGTGAAAGCGTCGGCAGGGAGCTCGCTGGAGAAGTTGTTGTTTGACAGGTTGAGTGCGGCGAGCGAGGTGAGGGCGGCGACGTCCGGCGGGAACGGGCCGACCAGGTGGTTGCCTGAGAGGTTGAGCGTTCTCAGGCCACGGCAGTCAGCGAGAATCCCGCCGGCTACCTCGCCGGCGATGAGGTTGCCGGAGAGGTCGAGGTACTCCAGCCCGGAGCAGTTGCTGAACTCCGGGAGCGCAGAGATCTTGTTCCCGGAGATATCCAGACGGCGGACTGCGCCGACGCCGGCGCCCACCATCCACCGGAGGTCGCCATCGCCGGAGATCTTGTTGTCGGACAGGTCGAGAGCGTCCAGCCGGGCAAATCCGGAGGCGACAACGCCGGCAGACCTCGGCCCACCAACCGAACAGCCGGAGAGGTTCAGAGCGCTGAGCCCGGCGCAGGTAGCGGCCAGCGCCTCGACGTCGGCGACGGAACCCCGCAGGACGGCATTCCCCGACAGGTCGAGCGACTGCAGCTTGGAACCGCACCTCGGCGCGGCGGCCAGCGCGCCGCTGACGTTGGCGCCGCGCAGGCTGAGCGTCTCGAGGCTGCCCAGCTGCAGCAGGGTGGCCACGACGGCCCGGAAGTCGGCATTGAGCGGGACGGCGGCAAGCGACAGCGACGTGAGCCGACCGCCCCTGCAGCCGGCGCCTGGAAACTTGCAGGCGCCGTCGCTGGCGCTCCACCCGCTGAGGCCCGCGGCGGCCTGGCTCGGCACGGCCTCCTTGAACTGCTCCAGCAGCTGAGCATCGTCGGCGGCCGCGGCAGCCGCCACGACGACGAAGAGTGCCACTACAGCGACCAGCCCCGGAGATTCCATGAACTGGCTAGTGCGCTACCTTAAAACCATTAAAGAAGCGGGTCGGCGACGGGGGAGGAGCCGACCGACGAGATGGTGAGGTGGGGAGGAGATGGTGGGTGGGGAGGGAGTGTGGAGGAATGGGCTGCTATACCTAGAGAGAGAAGCGGCAGGAAGAAAGAAGCAACAGTGCAAAGAGAGGGAGAGGAGGAGGAGACGGGGAGCAAATTAACAGCTGTAGGTGAGGGAAGGGAGTGGTGGTGGGGTTACGTCACATGGCATGTGCCCCCTGCCTGGCCTGGCCTGCCCTGCCCTGCCCTGCTTGCCCTCATCGCGAATCGCTGCCCTAATTAACCCGAGTGCCCATGGAGATTAGTATTCTAAACCACGGCGCTTATCCGCTGCCCGCGGCGAGGTTAATCCCGATTGGATCCGACGGCGGGGGCCGCCCCGATCGGGGCAGGCGGTGCTCTGCTCGAGGCGGGGTCACGTGCCGCCGGGCGCGGCCTCCGGGGCTCGTCAATCCGCGCGCCACTCCACACCACCCACGGGCGTGGCCGCATGGGCAGTTTAGGGAATTCGGGGTCGCGGTCCGAGCGTGGCATCCCTGGCGGGCGGGCGTGGAGGGAGGCGGACGCGCGGGTTTTTGTCTCCGACACAATCCCCGTGTGTCGTTAAAATAAGATCATAATGCGTTGTGCGGTTATGTAAAAGTTCAGCGGTATTCAGCGTCATTACTTTAATTTTTTTGCGCTGTTAAATTATAGATGTGAAAAGACAAAAATACTATTAAGTCTAAATATATTTTTTTAGTATTTTAACGACTTCAAATAAAAAAACTCAAAACTATAAAGTTGTAGATCTTGTCGAGATCTATAATTTTCATATAAAAATTATTTTTATTTAATTCTGTAAAAAAAATATGATTTTTCTAAGATATATTAATCATATCAAATTATTTTTTTACCGAATTAAATGAAAATAATTTTTATATAAAAATTATAGATCTCGACGAGATCTATAATTTTCTAGTTTTGAGTTTTTTTATTTGAAGTCGTTAAGATACTAAAAAAATTAATAACATATTTAGACTTAAGGGTATTTTTGTCTTTTCACACCTGCAGTTTGACGTCGTTAGAGCCCAAACTGACGGAAGTGGCATGGAGAAAAAGTTAGAGTCGTGACGATGAAAACCGCTGAACTTTTTCAGAGATATATAGAGCATTGCGATCTTTTTTTTTTAACGTCTTACGGGAATTCCCCTTTGTCTTTAACGCCCGTAGCGCGAGTGAGCTGGTAGATCCGATCCGGGGGGTGGCGTGCGTGCGGTCGACGCTGCGCCCTGCCGTGCCGTGCCCGTGCCACCTTTCCGGTGTGATCCAAGCGTGTGTTATGATGGCGAGGCCGTGAGAGTGGATAAGATCCCGTTACGCCGGCAGCTGAGTGTTTGTTTGTTCGATCGGCGGCACTGCCAGCAATGCCAACACCAATATGCATGACGATTTGATTTGTACTCGTTTTTTTTATTATAAATAAGAACAAATCTAGATTTTAATGTTTCATACTGTTAATAACTTAATATCCATAAGTTAAGTTAAAACTCTTGTGTCCATTGTTTATTAACTCTCCTTTTATATTTTATAAAAAACATATCTTGCACTTTTTATGTTACAAGAGCACTGATAGTTATGTATCTTGTATTTTCTTTAGAAAACTTTTGGATTTTATCCTTTTTAGCATGGCTCGTGAAAATTAATGTGAAAACCTCTAGTTAGAATTTATAGGACTTCTTTTTTTTAGAGTAACATGTATTTAGTTGAAATCTAATTTTATAAACTCTTGTTTCACCTTGTTTGTGACATCATGTGTCGGTGCGAAAAGTGACCAACTAGTAAATATTCGTCGTTTTACAGTACGTTGTGATTGGATGTGGCCTAGCACTAATGACACAGGGTTTATACTGGTTCAGACAACGTGCTCTACGTCCAGTTTGAGTCGGTCGGTGACTTTATTCCTGAGCCCAGGTGCTCGAAGTTTGCTGTGGGGTTACAAACGAGTGGGAATAAGATGAGGGTATCAGAGGTCCGGTCGGACTCTGGACCGAAGGGCCGAGAGTGACGGGAGCTCCTACGTGCGCTAAGTATTAGAACGTATGCTCTATGTAGCTTTAGAATGACTAAAGCTAGCAGAGAGTAAGTCGGAATGATCTGTGTGTTGTCTGTTGTTCGTCGAATCGATCTCCCCTTTTGGGAGAGGGCGCATCCCCTTTTATAGATGAAGGGGACGACCTTACAAGTGAGGGAGAGAGAAGTGTGTGCTACCTAGTCTTGTTGCCCATGTTGTCGGGTATGAGACGGTTTGTCGGCGCCTACAATATTGTTGACACCTTGATGCATGTGATTGGTTCCATCGTGTTCTTCTAGTATGTCAAATGTCGGCGCCTACCATACTGTAGGACAAATGTCGACGCCCACAACACTGTTTGTGTCATGACACGTCTGGAAGGTTGTAAAGTACCCTTCTGACATGCCCTAACAGTACTATCCTATAGATGTGTAGGGTACGGTCCCCGGTATTACGGTTGACTTGTGCGCCTTACCTTATCTGCTCCGCCTGATTTCTCGGGTCCTCACCAAGCGGACGTCCCCATTCGGTCGTTTCCAGTCGGCTCCGACCGCGCCGGTCGGAGAAGAGCCGCAGGCAGAGGCTTGGTGTGTTCCCGGTCGGAGACGCGGGTCGAAGTCGGAAGGGAGCGTCGCTCCTCCTTGGCCAGGCATTCCGGTCGGAGATGCGGGTCGGAGTCGGAAGCGAACATCGCCCCTCCTTAGCCAGGCCTTTCGATCGGAGAGACGGGTTGGAGTCGGAGGCCTTCCGGTCAAAGACAGGATCACTCTTCTGGCCTGCTGTTAAGTATCTGGGCCAGCCCAGGAGTTGCGCGTCGTCCGCAACGTCGTCTGCTGGGCCGAGCTTTTTGCTGGGAAGCAGGCCCATTAGGGACCCGGGTCTATGAACCCGACATCATGAATCTATATATTAGCTTTTCAACTTTTGATTTATTAGTTCTTGAAGATTTTTTATTCACACGCCAAGTTGAAACTCTACTACTTCTTGCATCTTATATTAAAATTGATACTTTCTTATTTATTAAAAATGATTATAGGCCCCTAAGATACACTTTTAAATACTACAATGGCATAAATTGTCATTCTAGCTTGGACCCATGGCACTCGAAACATTGAATTTGTTGTGTCAAAAGAATTATTTTTGTTAGCACTGTTTAAAGAACATATATAGAGCGCTTAAAATTGAAGTACCGATATTGATATGGCATAATCCTTCAGACAAACATTATAACCTTATTTAAACCAATAAGTTACAAAATCTATTGTCATGAAATATTGAGATAATTTAAGATGAATTGTCAACGTCATTGATATATGGTTTGTAGACATGTCGGTCTCTTGGTAGAATTCCTCTAAAATTCATATGAAACAAGTCATTTGATAGGAGTTACATATGATTTGTAGGAACCTATCTTTGTTTCAAAGGGTTCATAGAAATTTTCCTATAGGATTTCAATCCCCAAGAATTGAATTCCTCCACTTTTCCGTTGTTGGGCAGGGCAAGAGCAAGTTGAAACTGATTTATGATACAAGCATTCCTTAGGGCCCTCGTTGGAACGTAGACTCAAAACACAACACAAGAATAGGGAAATCATGGGATTAAAGTTGCACGCAATTCTACAGGAATTTATAAAATACCGAAAAGTTTCGGTTGTGGTCTTCAGATGCAACACAGGAATTCTAAGGAAGAGACGCAAGGAAAGTTTCCGCTAGGTTCAAGCTCACGCTAGTTTCCCTCTAAAATTCATATAGTTTCATACATTCCATATTAATTTAAAGGAATTTCATAGGACTTCTTTTATCCCAAAGTACATATATTAAATTTTTCTATAGGATTACAATCCACTAATTAAGGCCTTACTTTGTTCTTGCTCTTCTAAAATGCCAACCCACTCATTACTTTGGGATATCAATATCGCATTTCTCGATCTTTGTTCTTGGAAGGCCTTACTTTGTACGTTCTCATCTGAAATGCGAGCGAGAAATTGGCATGCTATCTGCCATGGTGCCCCAACCAAGGCAACACTGACCAGGATTGAGAAGTATGTATAGTCTGAGATCGAGAAAGGAATTTCATGACAACTTTGTTGCAGGCAGAGCTTCTTCAGTGTAGCGCTTTGTCCGTCACAAGGTGCTTTCCATCAGCATCAGCTGCTCGATATCAACACGGGTTTCCTAAAAATTTGACTTATGCTGATGCTTATGCTAATTTATTATGAGATGAAAACAATGATAGTTCGCTGAAAAATATCTGCTGAAGTAGTCCTGCAGAACAGGATGAATGTTACACTTCCAACACCTGCGTCGAGTCATCTAGTAGTGGTACTGTACTAGTTGATGATCAACCGTTGATCCATCATTTAAGTTATAAAACCAATAAGTTACAAACTATATTTTATAATGGTAGACATGGGTAATTTAGACACAAGTTTAGGTGGTTATTTAAGATTATCTTGCATAATGGCATAGTTGATAACTTTTTACAAAACACAACAGATCCGATCGTTATTATTGGCAGTGATGATTAGAGTCTAGCGAATTAAAGGCTAGATGTTTTCTAGTTATTATGAAAATTTTTAGAAATTACCTTTTTTTTCATCGAGCATCTCATTGGTACTAACGTGAAGGCCCTATTATTAGTAAGAGTAAGATTTTATCTTTGCCCTAACTTTAATATCTCTCATTTTTATCAAACTTTTAGAAAAATAAATTAATACATACAAGTTTAAGTAGATTCACTATCAAAACATATTTTATGAAGAATTTATTGAATCTTATTTGACGTTGTAGATGTTAGGTTTTTTAATAAACATGATCCAAATTAGAGAAGTTTGATTTAAGATAAAAATCAAAGTGACTTATACTTTACTCCCTCCGTCTCAAAAAGAATGTCGCTAT